ATCCATTGACTATATTGCCGAACAGGGCAGTTCACGCAGGCAGAATATGGCTCTTAAATCTGGTCTCATTGCTCCGGGGATGTAAAGGTGAATGTCGCGCACTGTACGTGACCCCCCAAGAGCTCTCTTTCGTCCTCGTGTCGCCCGCTTGACTTCGCGTGGAGATAAAATGTGCAACTGCTCAAGGAATACCAATAAGGAAGGTCGCATGGCCGTGTGATCGTATGGTGTGCGTCAGGATAAACACCACCGCCGGGAATTGGGAATTTGACACTATCAAAAATGTTCTTGTATCCGATCATGTACAATTGTTATAAACAAAAAACGGAAAGTTGTTGCTGTAAATAACAAACTCGAAATGGGATTCAAAGTCGGTAGCATTTAGTAAGCTTAAAACTTAATCATGTTAAACTCAATACAAAGTAGTAGAAATATAATTTAATGCTAGGCTGTACCACATGTCAAAACACACAATGAGAGCGTTCTTACGTTCTTGTAGTAGTCTCCTTATTAAGTTATCGGTAGTATTAGTCCTTCGCTAGTTACCGATAGTCTAGTCGTCGCCTTCACTAGCTATCTGTAGCGGTGGTCTCCTTCCCTCGTTAACGATAGCGATGGTCTCCTTCCCTCGTTAACGATAGCGGTGGTCTCCTTCACTCGTTAACGGTAGCGGTGGTCTTCTTCACTCGTTAACGGTAGCAGTGGTCTCCTTCACTCGTTAACGGTAGCAGTGGTCTCCTTCACTCGTTAACGGTAGCGGTGGTCTCCTTCACTCGTTAACGGTAGCGGTGGTCTCCTTCACTCGGTGGTCTCCTTCATTAACGATAGCGGTGGTCTCCTTCACTCGTTAACGATAGCGGTGGTCTCCTTCACTCGTTAACGGTAGCGGTGGTCTCCTTCACTCGTTAACGGTAGCGGTGGTCTCCTTCACTCGTTAACGGTAGCGGTGGTCTCCTTCACTCGTTAACGATAGCGGTGGTCTCCTTCACTCGTTAACGGTAGCGGTGGTCTCCTTCACTCGTTAACGGTAGCAGTGGTCTCCTTCCCTCGTTAACGGTAGCGGTGGTCTCCTTCCCTCGTTAACGGTAGCTGTGATCTCCTTCACTGTTAACGGTAGCACTGGTCTCCTTCACTGTTAACGGTAGCAGTAGTCTCCTTCTTTCGTTAACGGTAGCGGTGGTCTCCTCTCGTTAACGATAGCGGTGATCTCCTTCCCTCATTAACGGTAATGGTGGTCTCTTTCACTTATTAACGGTAATAGCAGTAGTCTCCTTCACTAGTTATGAGCTACTTTAAATATCAGTTGACACATGGAGTAAGAATCAACATAGACAAAATAAAATGAAATCGTTTAGAATTTGTTTTAATTTTTTCTATGTGGATACTTACGCATAACCGAATCACGTGTTTATTTTTGTGATTATTCTTGCATAGGACGCATGAGAAAGGACACAAAAGAAACTAAATATCATATAAATGACCACTGTAAATTTACATGAAAGTCAGATAAATTAAAGTGAATAGAATATTCCTGATCATCAGTACAACTTCCCGAGATCAGATTTACAATGTTTTCGATAGTGAAAATTCATTAATAACTTCAGCATGACCTTCAGAGGGCTCTTCAGCATTTTACGCTAAAGAACAAATATTTTAGGCTAAAATAAGAAAAAGCGTATTTTAGGCTAAAATAAGAAAAAGCGTATTTTAGGCTAAAATAAGAAAAAAGTATTTTAGGCTAAAATAAGAAAAAGCTTATTTTAGGCTAAATTACGGAAAAGCGTATTTTAGGCTAAAATAAGAAAAAAGCGTATTTTAGGCTAAAATAAGAAAAAGCGTATTTTAGGCTAAAATAAGAAAGCGTAATTTAGGCTAAATTAAGGAAAAGCGTATTTTAGGCTAAAATAAGAAAAGACGTATTTTCTGCTAAAATAAGAAAACTAAAAAAAGAAAAGCTCTTCCTATTTTAGTCTAAAATAATGAACTTTTTATGAAATAGTGAGTTACTGTAATGTTTTTACACAAGCTCATTACAGTAACCAGGGATTGGTCACAACTGCTGAATCCATTAAGGGCATAAATACAGCCTTCCACACATACAGGTGGACAGATATAAGTGTTTTTGTTCACGACATGTTTCCATCTATTAGTAAATATTTTGTTACTTCGCTTAAAGTAATAATTACTCCCAAATACTATTTTGGGCGTAATTATAAGTTAATTATAAATATAATTAATGGCAAAGCCCAATATGTATGTAATAAATTTATATATATTGGAAAAACTAAGCCTAGCAACATATAGAAATAAGTATAGGGTCTCGTGTTTAACTTAAAAACCCCTAAAGACTAATTTAATGTTCTTGGTTTATATATTCAAAGTTTTGTTTAGTCTTTGGCTACTCGCTGGTCAGTAGGCTAATGTCTAGATCCTATCCTAGTTGATGGGCCTAAGCCCAACACCCAACTAAACGATTATTGCTTGCTTTTGCTTTTATAAAATGTTTTAATAAGATATTTATATAATTCCTTTTTTTCAAAATGCTGAAGAAAAATGTAAACTCATAAATCTCTCATAATAAAGTACAACTCCCTCGTAAACACACTCATCCGAGGCGCCGGTAAACAGGCGCTCTGCAATAGACAGAAGCCCATGTTGAGGAAATGTGTCCGGTTGCATGCAAGGGAGGAGTAGGGCGTCTCCCTCATATTTCTTCATAACAAAAGCTATTGGGAGGAGAAGCTGTACAAAACTGCTGACCTGCCCGTTTTCTCTATCTGGAGGCCATTGTTTTGAGCAAAGCGTTGTGTGTCTTTGGTTGGTGTTTGGATGTGTTGGGTGGGGGGGGGTGGCTATGATGAAAAATGGGAAAAGTTTGTGTCGAGAGAGGAGTAATAAAGGTTAGTTAGCAGCTCTCGTGGGTTACTGATTACTTAAAGCGCTCTGTTGAACACTTTGAAATCCAACATAAGTGTTTATATATCGTCATTATGAAATAGCAGTAGTAATTAGCATCGATATATCATCGATTAGATATAGCGTCGTAATTTAATACCGAAATTCAATATCAATCTATTTCTTAAGATTGTATGACAATAATAATGGTTCCGTTTAAAGAGCTACACATACAATCATCGGCTGTCAAATTTATGCTTAAAAGGGAGCAACCATGAATAAGGAGGAACCATGGAGGTATTTTGCGATGATCTTAGTGCTGTCAGGGGTACAAGACATTTGTCCTGCTCTCTGCCAATGGCGTGGGTTGGGCAAGACTGGCTCCCCACCAACCAACACAATGCTCTCACGTTTATACAATATGTTGTTATATACATTTTATAAATTTCGGTAAAGAAGCATACGATGAATGAAATTTATTTACGTATTCCACAACAACTGTTAATATAATTAGTGAAGGTGAATGAAAGACCCAGTTTATGTTTAAAGTGTATAAAAGTCAAATGTTCCGATGTAACTTACATCCTTTATCAAGGTGATGTATACAAGGTTCAGAACATTGTATACATAACATTGATAAAGGATGTAATTACATCCGAATTTTGTGGTTTTAATACTTAAATTGGGTTATTCATTCATTCACCATCATTTAAGCACTACATTGTCGTAAGTAAGTTTATCAATATAATTAGTGTTGCTATTTTTATTATAAAAATTATTAAGTTCGTTGCAGTCATCTGATTTATTTGGTTATTTTTTCACATGAGCAAGAGACTAAATATGGAACACGTACTAGTGTCCACGTGAGAAATTCCTTCTAAAATTAAGGAAGAATATTGTCCAGTTTAAAATATAAATATTTTAGAGTATATTCCGTGACTAAAAACAGTGTTAGGAAAACTGACATTTTAACTAACTGCATTTGTAATCTAGTTACTCATTTCTAGTCCTAGAGTTTAATTATTAAAATTCCGTGTACCTTGAATTCACCGTTTAATACATTCATATGCAATATATGAATGCATAAAGTCTTACCTACATTTATAAATGCATTCAATGTGGTGGCAGACTCTTGCATACATTTCTCGTGCCTTCCCTTTTACGTTAACTAATTCTTAAGTGTATGGCTTGCGAGTATCCAGGTCAAGGGTTCGAAACCTCTGCATTGCTGATATTAGTTTTCTAGTTGATAAATCACATTAATGTGATTTCCTTGTGTATTACAATTAAAGCTATGACAAGTTGGTCTTGTTCGTAACAGTGGAAACTTCAACCCACACAATGGATTACATTCTGGAGGGCACATGTTCCCTACACTTAAGTTATTTCACTTTTTCAAAAGTTACCCAGATGATACTAATTTCTGAAGTCATATTCACTGTACAAATCTCTCTTTACTCTGCCAATCCCATGGATTACTATACAAGCTCTGTATATTCATATTGTCTAATTTACATAGACAAGCTATACAAATATGTATAGGTCTAAGATTTACCAATTAATAATGCGAGCTTACCTGCCATACTGCAATAATCATTCGAATCGATACACACGTAATTAATTTTAAATACACCCAAAAATTATAGCCTAGCCTAACTATCATAACAAAACTCCCTTAATTTACACATGTCCAGTGCTAAGTTTGCATACCCACTTTCTCCTAGCAACCTCTTAATATTAAGCAACAACTCTTTGAATTAAACATGCAAATTTTACAAGATATTTAAATATTTATAGCTAAGGCCTAAACCTAGTCCATAACACATGTTACCTCAACACAATCTTATCAACGAAAGGTAATCAATAAGCGTATTGATTTAGCAATTTATTGTATATAATGCGGATGTATGTTTTAGATTAACTGCCAGGAGCACTATGCAACTGGTGTACATGGCACCTTATCCACTCGACCATCACGACCGGACAAAAAGCTGATGGTAGCCGAGGTTTGGTTTATTGTAAATATTGTATGTCAGGACTTGTATTCCTTATAATGCCTGCCCCGAAATGAACTTGCTCCCTCATCACCTCTCTCTGGCCTGCAGGTGACACCCCGGCGAGGGTGGGCATGAGCCCTGCGCCGCCCAGGTTCGTGCATCCCGCCCACAATGTGACGGTGGTGGAGGGCCAGGAGGTGACGCTCATGTGCTCCGTCACCAACCTCCACGGTTACAAGGTCAGGAAGGAAGTGGGGGGGGGGAGAGGGAGATGGGGGAAAATAAAGAGGCGGGGAAATATTAATGTTGAAGAGGGGAGGGGAGTAAGGGGGAGCGGCCGGTAGGGAAGAAAACGGCAGCAGCCTATAACCTTTTCAGTGATGTTTTCTACATTTTACATTAATATCTGACATTTCAGACTTTTATGACGTTTACTTTTAAACCAGACTTTTAGATGCATTGTTCATTGTTGTCCTTTGCTGACTATAATGCATCCAACATTATTTTTAACGTGATTTTTGTACCTTTGAAATAGTTTTTAATGCAAATAATTAAGTTGACACTATACCGACACGCGTTCCACACTGATTTTGACAGTCAAACCAGAAAAGTCATTAATTTGTGGAAGAAGGCACCACAAACAGTTGACACAACGCTCTATATCCAAGGCGGCTCCTGTTGACATCAATGTATGCAGGTGGCTGCACCCATTTGGTCATCGTCCACAGGAGAGGCATGTAGGTCCATAGCAAACTAACTCTTCTGGTTGTTGAGACGTTGTTGTTGTGCTGGCCAGCAGCTGGCGTGGGTGCACGAGGAGACACAGTCCATCCTGAGCATCGGTCGCCAGCTGTACACCAAGACCCCGCGGCTCTCCCTCCACGCCGACCGGCACTCCGCCGGCCTCACCATCTCGCCCGTCCTCGCCGTCGACAGAGGCTGGTACATGTGCCAGCTCAACACTGAGCCTATGACCTTCTCCAGGAGCTACCTGCAGGTGCTAGGTCAGTCCTTTCGTCTGGTTCTCATGTTCTGTCAATTGCTTGTCAACTATTTTCTTCATGAGCTGTCTATATTCGTCGTATTTTGTTATGAAATTACCTTATTTTTTAAATTTAGACATTATGCACCCCCCATACCCATGCTGTGGGCGGTAGTGTACCTCGATTATACCCATCTTGTGGGCGGTAGATGGACACGAATCCAAAATAAAAGGCGAGTACTCAAATACAGCTTTAACTTGAGTTGTCATACACGCCTTAGCAGAGAAGGTGATTAGTTTCCCTCCGTACACAAGATAGTTTCCTAGTGCACTTGGCTGCAACTTTATTATTACTCAGAAATCACACTAACGTGATGTATCAATGAGAAATTCCGTAGGAGCCGTGATGAGGATTCGAACCTATGCGCTGGGTGTTCCCACGCACACGCCGTAGTCAACCAGGCCACGACATGGTAAGAAAAATAGCAACCTGGGGTTTTATTGACCCCACGAGGATTCCAGAGGCTTCCACTGAAGCGTGTGCCTGGGAATATCCAGTGCATAGGTTCGAATCCTCATTACGGCTCCTACAGATTTTCCCAACTTTATCATTACTATGATTATATAAAATAGTGACATGTTCTCCTCGCCTTCTTATCACTCGTCCACAAGATGACGCATCTTTGTGTCGACCTTGTATAACATACCGGTGATCTGTCGACTAAGTTAATTACTGTAAGCTCATTTCAAATCCAATTACACATGCATAGCCATTTATGTATTGCATCTCTCTCCCGCGGGAGGACAGTCCCGCCCACGCTGGAGGAATGGTCCGGGTCGTACGTGGAGGTGCGGGAGGGCGCGGCCGTCAGGCTCACCTGCAGGGCCAGAGCCTTCCCTCCAGCCCTCACCACCTGGCGCAGGACTGACGGTGACCCCATCTTCCGCTCGCCCCGTATAGGTCAGTCTTAAGTCACCTGCAGTGTCTTCCCTCCTTCCCTCCCTCACCCCCCCTCCTCCACAGGTCACTTTGAAGCACAAGATGTCGCATCAACCCATCCTGTTTAGGTAGTACGTTTTGTAACTATGTGCACCATAGTACAAATATTGACGTACTTAGTAGAACTTTGTACTACTTATAGTCCGAAAAAAGAAGCTAAAAAATAAATTTAAATATTCCTAGGCCTAGTATAGCGCATGTGTACTATATTAGGCCTCAGATAGCGTATATTAGGTCTAGGAAGGAAGGTTAGTTTAGCTTGTTTGTTTGTTTTACCTGAGAACCACTAACACTAGTGGCTTCGACGAGGACAAGAAGCCGGCGGCTTGTCATAGATCCCCCCCCATCTTATATTAGTAGTCTCTTTAGGGGACAGGAAGCTAGTGGCCTTTATTAATTCCCATGTTATACATGTTTGTGACCGACAGTGTGGGTGACGGAAGGGCCGGACCTGGTGTTCGAGTCTGTCCGACGGGAGCACACCGGCGCCTACACCTGTCACGTGGACAACAACGCCACGGCGCCCGTCTCCCGCACCACTCACCTCACCGTCACCTGTGAGTGTCTCGGCCCCTGCAGGTGAAGTGTGTTAGAACAACCTTTCTCAGTCTTGAACAAATCCACAAGGGCCGTGACGAGGATTCGAACCTACGTCCAAGAGCATCCCAGACGCTGCCTTAATCGACTGAGCTATACGACATAGTCACCTTGTTCTAACACACATCTTTATATGACCTGTAAAACTTTCTTTTAGCTGCTTGAGCCATTATTGTTACTTTGTGATTTTTAACTGTTTTATGGGTTACTACATGTTTTTAAACAAATTGATTTCTCCCAAATACATTTTTGTTTATTTGCATATACATGTTATCTTTAAAACTGCTCTCTTCATTTAGTTTATGCTGTAATTTGTTTTTCCTTATATTCTCCTATTTTTGTTTAGTTTCCCTATTTTCTCCCTACCATTTTTTTCCTGTTTTCTTTGCATTGTCTGAAGTTTCACGGTAAACTCTTGTGTTGTGCCAGACGCACCGGTGCTGTGGCTGGGACGAGAGCTGGTGGGCACCAAGTCTGGCCTCGACATCACCCTCAACTGTTCCAGTGAAGCCAACCCCCCACCCCAGCATTTTTGGACAGTCAACAACACCAACGTGACAAACGGTGAGTTCACAAACCATCACGTCACCAGGTTATTATATAATCAACCAATGGCAGGTGATACTGTAGGTTGGTATACTATCTAAACTATTTTATTTTTTCTATATACAAGAGGTCTTACATTCTTGAGTCTTATTTTAGTTTGGTCCAAGATTATAACGTTATAGTACTTATATATCTCCTGCCATATGGGTCTTTTACAACATATGGGAGTTTGTGTTTGGTCTGTTTTCTGAATGGGGGTGGAGGAGATGGACCCTCTTCCTCCGGTCTATGTTTTGCGACCTGGGGAGAGGAGTCTATTGTGACACTGATGTACATTTTAGTGTTAAAGTTGTCCTGACAATGGGTGATGGCTTATATTTTTAGTGAGGATTCTGAATAAACAACTGGGTCTCAACCCTTCAGACCGAACTGTTTGCCTGACTACTAGCACTCAAATGTATAAAAGTCTCCAAACTTGGTACATTAATTATGGTTCTTTATTGTCCTTAATTGTGCTCAACTCTTACATAACTAACATGCTCGTGTCTGAAGCTAGACACAGATACAACAAAATTATTAATGATGGTAACAAAAGTCCATTTCATGTGGATTCCATCTCGTATTGGCCTCCGAATGCATGACAAAGCTCATAAGTTAGCCAAAGAATCTACTGTACCTTCAAAGGAGGAGTTGGTTATAACCTTGGATTACCTTTAAGCAGTCTGAGAGCAATATTTCATCTATATTTTAGCAATATTTCCAAGAACTTCAACAAAACTTTGTAGATTTGACACAATGAAATCTATAATAATAATTCCATCTATCATACAAGAAGAGCCACATATTTATGGATCACTCAATAAAATCAGCAGACTCCATTTGTTACTACTGCTCGACTTAGACTCGGCTATGCTGGAAATTTTCACTACCTGCTGATTTAGACCTGACCAAATGTAAACTGCGTTAACAAAATTATTTGTACACCCTCCGTCACTATGTAATGGAGTGTGAAAAGATACATGAATTCAGAGGCATCTGCATAGCAAATGTTAAGAGAAATGTGTAAATATTTAATTAAAAACTATCTGCTACCAGAGGTTTTAGCCAAATATGTCCAGTTTGGTAACTGCAGGTAGTAAATGTTGGTGACTGTAACCTTTCCACTGCTGCCCATTGGTTGGAAAGGAGGATTGTGCAGGATAAACATATAAGTTACTGTATGACGCAAGCTCTCCATATATATAAGTTGCTTAGCTTGGAGACTGTACTCGTCTCTAACCCATTGTTGACATAACAATATAAATTATATTTTTTAACTAGCTCATCAAGACTGTAACTTGTTTTGGTAAATTAATTTTGGGGTTCAGTTCCTGCGCCCATTATGTGCCTCTGTAATCCTTTCCACTACCGCACACAGGATGAGTATGGGGTGCATAATAAATGAACTAAACTAACTGATCCATAGGTTATAGGAACACAGTTATTATAACTACATAAATTGCTGGATAATAAAATATAATAATTGTCCCAGGAATAATTATAACAAGGTACAGTACTGTATAATTAGTTTCATCTTGAATAATGATCCACCCACAGGCGAGAAGTACCAGCTGGAGGAGGTGAAGGTGTCAACCAAGACGCAGGTGCTGCTGACCGTGAAGAATGTAGGTCCTCGAGACTTCACTCACTACAGGTGCCACGCCGTCAACCCCACTGGCCATGCTCAGGGCACCATCAGGCTCTACGGTGGGTCAGTGCTTCACTTGCTCACAAATTTAGCGAGTTGCTGGCTAGTCAATCTGCAGGCTGTGCTTAAAACAATTATGAAAAGCTTCTATCCAACCCATTCTTAGATCAGGCGCATTAATCCAGTGACTTCATCACAATGTGCATCTCTCAATATTTCTCATACATAATTGAAAAATTATTTTTTAAATTCAGAGCAACATATAATGATTTGTGCACGACCTAGTTCAGATGATTTGGTTCCGTTGGCAAAAGTATATTTCTGGAGGACACTTTGTGGCTCTAGGAAGCCACCTCGTTGAGATGGCTTCTAGAGACCAAAGCCAGAACTTAGTTCATCAGCTCCAGAACTAACCATGGAAGCTGACTGGGGCCGGGCTGCCTGTGGTGGTAATCGGTACTCTTCTTACATTATACGCTAATCTATCCTATCCAATATACGGTATCTGTGCAACCCGTCCTTAGTATGTGTCGCATTTTGACATACTAAGGCTAAACAAAATTTGCCTTAGTATTTGCATTTTTGACCCAAGGAAAAAAATTGTCGTACTAGAAAATGGTAGTAGCTCGCAAAATTGACATACGGTCTTATTGAGTTTTGAGTTTGTGGTAGGTTAGGATTCGGGACTTCAGTATGACAGTTTCTTGACGTTGGGAAAGGTTAGGATAACGGACTGATCTGTGCATGTTTCTTGACGGTTTCTTGACAGTTTCAGTGGTTCAACCACTGCAAATTACCTCGAGCCCATCATCATCCAACATAGTTTGTGATAGTTTCAATAGTAACAAAGTAGACAGTAATACTGTAGCCAGTAGAGGGAGGGAGAGTCCCCCCACCTTCCCATTTCTTCCTTCTACCTTTCGATAAACACTAAAACATATATTAGGCTAATTTAATAATCAGTATAATATAAAATTTACATACTAATCGCAGCACAGGTGTTCTGAGATGAATCTTAATCATACTTTTTACAACAGATTCATTTTAGTATATTTACTTGTTCTAATTATTATAACTCGTGAATTCAGGCATATAAACATTTTTTTCATTAGAATGGATCATTTCAGAATAATAATACAGTAATAATAATAATAATGTTAATTTAGGTGAAAGTACATACATTCAAAATGAGTTAAACAGAATGTTGGACTTCTAGATAGAGCTAGTACATGCTATGCCTACAGCCACTAGTATGCACAGCATTTCAGGCAAGATTCATGAAAGTACTGTATAGCACTATAATTTATTAATTCAAGTGAATATTCCTTGGATTTACAGGGTATTTGCTTGAAGTATTAGTTATAACACATTAATTCTAAGATACTGTATATACACATTAATATATACAGGCATATACCAGTACAGTTGTTTAAAAATATACAAATTACGATCTTTATTCTACTACAGAGATCAAGGATCGTGTAGTTCCTGTGCCTACTAGACAAACGTGGCGCATACCTCACCCAGGTAAGTGGGGTCTCGCAAGGGTAAGAACAAATTAATGGATAACATTAAGAGTTTTAGTAACACTTCTAGATGAGATTTATATCAAGTAGAAACTTGACGAGTCCCCAAGAAGTACTGAGACATCTTTGATTACAAGAAAAGACTAGGTTTCATTAGATATGTGTAGGTTGGTCTATTTACTTGAATAATGTTAGTTATTCTACTGTAATGACATTCGTCAAAATATTTATGGTATTTTGGTTGTGATTTTTCAAAGTTCATTTATAGCTTACCCTCTGTTTACAACTGAAACGTTCACTATAATCATTTTTTATTTAAATAAAAAATGTGAAGAATTATAATGCAAGTGATGAAGACTGTCCCACAGGTGAGGTCACCAGAGGGCCAACCTCATCCACCCCAATCTCCAGCAGCAGGAACAGTGGCGGTGCCAATACCCATCTTGGGGACAGCCTGCGCACCACAAAGCTTCTGACCAACAAAATCCCTGCACCTTCCGGCAGCTGGAGCATTGTAGGGCGACCTGGGGACACCTACTCCAGTAAGAACACGTTAAAGCATCAGGGTGGCCACAATAATACATTACTTGTGGTGGACATTTTGGAGGACGGGGGAAGGGCTGGGTTGCCTCGTCTCCCCACTTTTAAGCTTCTACTACTACTCCCCGCCCTCACACTCCTCCTCACAGCAGACTTTGGCTAGAATTAGCTGCACTACCTACATGAGTTTACTTTCGGATAATGAGAGCATTCAAACAGGCATCATTAGTGACAATCAGAAGCTTTACGATAAAGAGAGGGAAGGAGGGTGGACTGCAGGCGTGGCATCGGCATCTGTATCCTTGAGTGTTTTGAGGAATGGCAAACTTCCTAAGGAGTTACTGTGTAGTAATAGAAATATGTCTGAAAATATATTATCATTCCTTGAAGCTAAGCTAAAGGGAATGAACAGTGTGGAGGGATTGTTATAGAGGCAGCTAGAGATTATATAATAATAATTATGTAATATCTAGCTGCCCCTATAACCATCTCTCCACACTGTTCATTCACTTTATTCAAATTCACTTTAGCTAACTAAAGTGAATTATAGGTGAATTCGCTTGAAGGAGTAATATTAACACTTGTGCATTATTTTTCCTGAATAATCCACAATACTGATAAGGATTGTTCCATAGCTCCTCTATTTTCAAAGTTAATATATACTGTACACTGAATAAACAGAATTAAGTTTTAAATGTTTGTAGAGGAATTCGTCAACAGGGTAACATGTCTTTAAATTCCTCATCCTTATTATAGATGATAATTAGAGGCTTTCTGGATTTGATTTCTATTTTAGCCGAATCATGTACTTGTGGCTGAAGCAGATGTTGGCTGCATGTGTTTACTAGTACAGTACCACTGATGAGGGATGGAGACGAATTGTGCTTATGGAGGTCCTCTGAGCCATGGGATCCAATGCTGCTTACCAGTGAATGTACAGGAGTTGCTTGCCTGTATGTAGGTAACTGTAAGCACCACAGGTATTTATGAGTATTCTCCAGGTGATACAGTTGGTCCACTGGCTTAGTACCTGTACATGTTCACCTGTTAAGTTCTCATACCAGTCTGTTAACATGAATATACCTGAAGGGGAGGGGGGGGGCACCGTCTCAAATGGCCGTGACAGCAACAGGAAGCTGTTGGTATGTTAAAGGTTCTTGCATTATTTCTGAGGATTTCTGGAGGGAATCCGTTGGTGCTTCCAGAAGCTATCTTGCCGAGATTGTGCTATACTAAAGGGTCAGTCAGTCATGGGAGTTCTGTTTGTTGTATTGGGACCAGAGCCAGAACCTGGTTCCCTCACAGATGTGCAGGGAGCGGGTCTCTGCGGGTATCCACCACCTCTCTGGAAAAATTCTTCCGAAAGTCAGTGAAGCTTTACAGACAACCAGAGGGTGTACAAAAATGAAACTTTGAAACCGTCAAACTCTACAAACGATTCATACAGAACAAGGGAATCTTTCAAAATAGATTGAAACTCATTAGTACTGATTACCACTACTAGGCAGTCTGACCCCAGCCCACAGTAGACTTCCCACCTTAGTTCTGTTGCCATTGCCATGCTGTCTGGTACTGCTAGTAGTGCTACTGGTCAGTCAGATCGTGGGCAAGCCCTGCTGCTTCAAGATAAGTCCCGGTCATACTTGGACTGTGTTGCCCTCCGGGTAGGAGGGGGTCATTTGCTCTGTGTACTGTTTCTTCATGCGTGTGTTTTGGTTCTGGCTTGTGGTGTGGTCTTGGCTCCTATGGCATTTTAGGCTGCATGCACTCAGGGTTTTCTTCAGTGTATACAGTACCTGGTAATACTGTTCCTGCACAGAGTTTCCCTTCTCTGATGTGTTCTGGTATTCGACCATGAGGCCTGGCCACCAAGGTAGAGAACCTTGCCTTGGTATATTCGAGGATCCTTGATCCTTCTGTTTCGGCCTTTGGCTTGGGGTATTCTTTAATTGTGCTAAAGCACACTAGGGGTTAGCATGCTTGTTTACATGGCCTTTCTCCTTGTGAGGACACCTTCCTGTCTCAGGTGTTGGGTGAGAACTTCAGCTCTGCCCTGGAGCCTTTTAGTGTTGAGTGGAAGCCCAAGGAGTGCCCTTAAGGAATCTTTCAGCCCTTTGTAACTCTTGGTCCTTTCCATGGAGAGTCTTTTGTTGCAGGGGATCATTTTTACCCTCTGCAACAAAAGAAGTCGGGTCATCCAATTCTGTACAAGTTGGGCTGCTTGGCTGCGTTCCCTTGGGTTCAGTTCCGCTTCCTGTTAAGTACCTCATGGGGTCCATGAGGATTTGTTTCAGTACTTTCTGCAGAACGCGGACCTCTTTTTCCATAATGGACCTGAGCTTCTTTGAGGCCAGATCCGTTGCTGCTTATTGGTTGCAGTATAAGGTTTCTGGTTCATCCTGGCTAGCTCTCAACCCTCTCATTTTCTTGGGAGTTTGACAGAAGTTCAGTTGGACTTGCACACTTGATTGGTGGGAGGTGAGCATTTCATTTGGGTTGCCTCACTTGTCGATAGGCTGTGTTTGCCTGTTCTTTGCCAGCTTGGTCCCCTTAATCTTTTGGCTGCCTCTCCATTTTCTTCCCTCCTTTTTCCACAGGAGGTTATTGCTCAGGTTGGTTCTGTGACAGCTTTTTCTTGCATGCCTATGGATCAGTTATTGTTCTCTTGGGGATCTGTCCTCTCTGAGGTGGTCTGTTTGGGTGGCGACCTTGCCTATTGTTGGTTGGGATCAGTCCTCAGGCGAGTAAGATTCCTGGACTGTTGCATTTCTTGAAGAGGCTAACTGCTTTGCTCGACAGTGCAATCACTCTTTTCACAGTAAGCTTGTTTTGCCTGGGTTTCACCGTGACCCTTTTCCACTTCACCCCTTTGGCACTGCCATGGGTGGGGGGGTGGATCTGGCTCTTTTTGCCAGCTTCTGGTTCCACAATTTGTGGGTTGTTTTCCATGGCCATTGGTGAAGCAGGTCAGTTCCTCCTGTGTGGGGTTAGGTCTGTTAGGTGAAGTCCTCCATGGCACTGCATTGGGTCATTGTGGGTTGGATGGCCTCTGGTGAGGTCGAGGTGACCTTGTCAGTTCGGTGGGATGTTGCAGTTATTCCTTGTCCTGAATTGGGACTCGGTCTGAACAGCTTCATTCTGCATGTATGAACAGCTTTCTGCATTACAACCTTGGCTCGGGTCCACCTGCTATTACAGGTTGGAGCTTAATATCCCTAGACCTTTGGGATGCATACTGCCACATCCCCATATGTCCAGGATTCAGCGATTGGTTAGGGTTTGTTGCAGGGGCTCAGGCTTACTGCCTCAGCCCCCAAACAACAATCCATCCCGCTTCTGTGTGTGTGTGTGTGTGTGTGTTCAGTAGGCTAGCACGTGCCATTGTGGTCCTGCTATCTGTTACGGGTTCCTGTGTTTGGCCCACCTCGACAACTAGCTGAAGTGGGCCTCCAGTCAGTCTGCATGTCGGCTGGCCAAACACTAGCCAAACATCTTGTCGATTTCTCTTTCAAAGTCCACTGTGTTTGGATGGATGTCTGTGTGTCTGGGGTTTGGATGTCATTTGTAAAAAAGACATCTGGATCTTCAACTTTCATGTTGTTTATCTGGGATGCTAAAACCTCATGTCTTCTTACAAAGAACGTCGCATTTCGATCGTATGTGTTACACAAGATCAAAAATGGCCATACTTTACCTGAAAATGGAAGCGGCTCGCGAAAGTAACGCGAGCCGTTTTTCTGTTGTCCCGTTTTTCTGTTTTGGGTCCTCTGGTAGGTTAGAAGAGGACACTTTGATTTGACCGTTTTCTTGATGTTGGAAAACCTTAGGAGAACGGGCTGGCTAAACATAGCCTCATACTTGCCATTTAAGATTTCACCAATTTCTTGTGTTCTTCTCTTGCATCCTCTGTGTATGAACCTTCAGTTGCTAGTGTTGAGTTTTTATTTTGCAAATGTGAAATTGGCTGTTTTGACTATTGTTCAACCGCAAGTCAGATACTGTTCGGTTATGGACAATCCATTTACATCTGTCATTGGTTTATATGATATGGAAATGTCCCAGAGCACTAGTACAGTATTGCATATGAACTGAGATGTTTGTTTTCCCATTATGTAGCCAAACCCAGAGGGGACACAAGGTAATAATAACCTGCCTGGACTATTGGTCAATTGTCTAACTGGTTGACAAACCTGAATGTGATATTTAACACTAAAGGAAGGATGTCTGGCCTTGGCCACTGCATGTCCATCATGTGGACATCCAGTGGTTCATTAAGATCTCATAAGTACCCATGAATGTGTATCACAATACTTGACTAATACTGACAGGCAGTCTTGGCATATTGGCAAGAACATATTCCTACAAGGAATCCTACGTTATAGTGGTAGGTACATGCAGTTGTACAGTCAACACATGCAACTACTGATGTCACTGCTGTGTAGTTTTCATGGTATTAAACTTCTGCACGAATGGTAGGTCCCCAGTTGCAGCACCTCGACCAACTCTTCCATCTTTCACAGTAATATTCTTGCAGGTTTCCTCGGATAACTGTATGTGTACGTCTGTGACAGGGCCTTTTGGCATACTTGATGTTGCATTACAATTATTTGTGTTCTGTCTACTTGCAGCTGTTAATAAATGTGTGTACGAAGGATGGCATGTATAGATGAGTTTGTATTTACTGCTCCTGTAATTAATTACTTGTTTAGCTGTTTATTAGCTAGTGTATATACAGTGTTTTGTTTGTGGACCCCAGCTGCGAGATATACCCCGACAAGCTTAAACACATGTGCGATATACATGTCCCCAAAGAAGTGTAGGGGGATGTACATTAGTAGATTACATTTACATTATTAAACGTGAGCACCAAGTAGATAATATATTAACACTATAGACAATCAAGATGCATTATATGTATAGATTATTGTATCCTCTAACAGAATCTAGAGAAATCTAGTTAAGCTCTTGAGATTAGGCGAGTTTTACTGTCCCCAGTTTTTTTTTTTTTTTTTTTTTTTTTTTTTTTTTTTTTTTGGGGGGGGGGGGGGGGGGGCCTGTATATGATCCAACTTGATATAAATTGTTTTTGTCTTTAGTTGTAGAGGTGAAAGAATGTGCCCCAGTCATGTGTCCTCCATGACCATTGTATCCATCACTCTCCACTATCATTACTCATCATGGCCACCATAATGTGTCTCCACAGTTATCCACCATTGTCACAATACTTTCACCACAGGTGTTACCCCAGTTGAGTATTGTATTTCCTATTTTAAATAATAAATGCTAAATGCTGCTGCTCTCATTTTAAAATCTTGCTGTATTAGTCATCGTTTACTTATGCAACATATCTACATTTAGGTCCATTATCAGTCCATTTATATAAGTATATTTTATTTTATTATTGTCATACAACATTATGCTAAAGTGTACATATCTCGCATACAAACATTATGGTAGAGGTTTTCATATAAAATTTTAATATTCTTAAATGTGAAGCCTGTGGCAGGATATATGACTGAAATTTAACATGCATTTACATTGTTCAACCCCCTCCGTTTGCAGCCTGTTGTCGTCATGATGGGCGGCTGCCGGGGTGTGATGCTCCATGGGACAGTCCTCTCTCTCCTTTTGAAGCCTTATGCTCCTGCTGCCGTCTTCACTAATTGTGCTGGTTGCCGTTTCATTTTTCCTACCCCCTCTTCTCCTTTCTCATCGTCTTTCCCGCAGACCTTTTGCCTGTCTTGATTATTCTTTTGGGCATCTTCTGTTTTGACGCCCGGGTGTTTGGGGAGGCACATTTTGACCCGTAGAACTGTGGTACCCGACGTTGAGAGCGAAGGGACGCTTTGTCATTCCTTGCCTTCGTTGCTGAACCCGATCTCGACGGACTGACGGTTCTTAAGATAGCGATTGGGGGGTGTATACTCATGATTCACCCCTGCAGGCCCAGACCAAGCTACTCCTTTGACCCGACTACCCCCCCCCCCCCTCCCCTCTGCTCCCCTCCATCCTCTGTGTAGAGTTGAGCCCCAAGCCGTCAGTGGTGATCACCTCATCACCTTGAGGGGGCTATTTCTCTCATTGTGACAACTTTACCTTTTAACACCCCCCCCCCAAATCCCTCACCGAGGGTGCTCGGCACTGACCTTTCCCCACAGACGCACTCGCACGATTCCTTCCAGTGATAATGCGTTCCACGCCGTGTTTGGTCCTGCTACATGGACTAAATACTGTTCTCTCAACCATATGAATTCTTCACGTCCTGACAATTTCTTCCTCCCTGAACACCTCATTGATTCAGTGAATGCCTGTTCCTTTTAACACGTGTACACGTGTCGGTGCTGCTGCTCCTCAGGATGCAGCTGCCCGCTTAGCCACATTGTCCAGCATTGGGAGACCCCAACACCCCTTTTGGGGATCTCCAAAAATACTCTTAAATGCCAGTATTGGCGCTGTTCTCCCGCACGATGTTGCGACTGGTGTTAGGGACCTGCAAGACAACCACTTGGATATTAAACATACCCTTGAAGCCCAAGGCCATTCTGTCCTCCAGGGTTGATACGTTCACTCGACCCCTTCGTGGTCATCAGCCTCTCCGAACTGTGAAAATTTCTTTTGATATTAGAACCCTTCCGCCTTCTATAATTCTTGCTGGTGCCAGATGCTCCATTCAGGAGTATATTGCCTCTCCTAGACTTTGCAATAAGTGCTGGAAATTTGGGCATGGTGCCCTCAAATGCAGTGTCTATGGCCCATGTGTGAGGACTCTGGTTCCTAAGACTGGCAGCTCTTCTTCTCAGGCTCCCTGCCTCAATTCGGTGATGCCCACCCAACCTTCTCCTGCATGTGTATGCATTACAAATTTGAGGAAGCCATCCTCAATTTGAAGCACCACGATCGTTTGTCTTTTCCCGAGGCGAGACGCCAAGTCCACCGTCTCCTGTTTCACTAGTACATCTTATACTCGTGTGTTGCATTCTACCTCTCCTCGCCCTTCCCTTCTTAGTCACGCAACCATTTCCAAGCTTTGAACCCTGACACTCCCACCGACTCCTCCCGAGCTCCTTTACGTTCTGATGTAGGGGGTCGTCCTGGTTTTTCATCTGGCGTTTCCCCCTCCTTCCCAGTCCCGTGTCCCTTGTGTCTTTCCCGGCTCTCCCCGATACTTCTTCCCAGCCCTCCCCCCAATCTCTTGGTCCTCCACACCGCCTGTGTCCAGCAGGCTGTTGTCCATCCTCCCAGCAATCATGTTGATCGCTCCCGTTCCTGTCTTAGTAATCGAGATAAAGAGCATAAATTGAATTTGTCCAGCCCAGTTGATTGGGCGAGCCACAGATTTTTCAGCGTTTTAACAGATGAAATGCATTAGGTGGTGAGGAGGCAGACTATACAGTTTGAAATATAGATACGAAGAAGAGCCCAGTAAGCTTTAGAATCTATACACCAGTATTGACAAGTGGAACCAAAGCTCAACCTCCGCAAGCAGAATAGGAGAGTACAAAATCCTGAAGGTGATCTGGGTACCCACAGACTAGGTCCTGTGGAAAATATTCGCACCTTCCCATTTTTCCAGACCCACAAGTATTTAACTTTGCCAGTTCAATGTAATAGGTGAAACTGGAAACAAAGCCTTGTCAAGTCGGCCGATTCTCTGAAGACCTGTGCAGTACCTTTGTTACAGTTTGCCTACTTGTGGAGCTAATGGGGGGTTTTTATAGCCCCTTTGAAAGTTTATAAGACTAGGTTAACACTAGTAGGGTTGTCCTACCTAGAGTAGAGACTTACTGTCAAGTCTTGCCAAGAGTTAACCAAGAGGGCTTATAGTGTCAAGCTTCAGTGGCATTACTAAAGGCAAGATACGAGGAAGGCGTTGAATAGAGGGGAGGGGTAAGTCAGTCTAGTTTGGAACCAAGTTCTGGGGGCCTATGAACACCTCCAAACAATAACCGGCCATCCGGCTTGTGTGGTTCAGGATAGCATCATCTAACAGCCTAGTCAGAGACCGGGCCGCGAGAACGTTGTGCCCAGCCGTACAAAATACGTTTAAATAAGGTAGGATAAAATGCCAGTTTGAGGTACCAATTTAGTATTGAAATTAAGTTTACACCTCTAGCCGATTCTTGACTTATCAGAAAGCGAGCGTTAGAAGACCAAGTGGTGACGGACAGTACATAGTTTTAATCTGTCGTTGTAGATGTCCAGTACAGAGACTGCCTTCTCTTGTCTGGACCCGAGGACGAGAGGATGTTAGGAATGACAGATTTAAAATATTTATTGCACAATTTGTTTTCTGTTACGTAAGCAGTTCATTAAAGCCTTTGTTAGACTAGCAGTCTTCACCGCCCACAGGATGGGTGGAGTTTACCCGACAATCTAAGATGAGGTATGATAAAGACCTTTTGTGCCCTCTAATGCTTTTGCGCTACCTCTCACAGGACGAGTATGGGGGTGCACAATAAACTAGCCGCCTTCGGCGGCAACAATACCCGACAATAAATATGAACAGTCCAGTATGGAGTAGACGCAGACTTACTTTAAGCGTTAAGAGTTCATTAACAATGATGGAATCTTGTAACTACAATAGTATCTAATAATGTGCAAATATCCGTTTATGATTGATAATTAACACTTAAGCGTATTGACAGACTAAGTGCAAGGTTTATAGAATTTAAGTGAAGCTAGTAACACATCGGTAAATCTTAGGGTTTTAAATTAAGAAG